CTCCTCCTCCTCCTCCTCCTCCTCCTTCTTCCTTTAAATTAATTTTGTTGAGGAAAAAATTGCAATGAGACAGTTCCAAAACAGTTTGGTAGGAGAGTTACAATTAATACATGGCATATTGTTGTCTTTGTAGTAGTCTTTCATAGTTCAAGATGCTGACCTGATATCCTGTCCAAACACTGTTAGTACAAATCTTTCTTCTTATTAAATTAAGAGAAAGTGGCTGCGCCCCGGTATGCCCTCCTATTGCTTCTGCCTCCTGCTTCTGTTTGCTGCCTGGGCCTCCGCAGGCGGTCTGCTCCTCTCCTAAAATGAAAGCCCCTTCAGTTATTTGGAGATGGCTGGCCTGTCCATCTGTGCTGGAGGTTTCTCCCGTCATCCTGGGAAGCCGAGCACCACTCAATCACTGTGGCCCAAGGCCCGCTGCCTTCCGACCCGTCTGCTTCTGTGACGTCTTCCCTCTCTCTGCACCTCACGCAGGCACACTCAGACCTGTCTATCCACCTACTGCCACCCTGGCCATGGACCCCAACTTAACGTCCTCAAACAACATATGTTCCCTCCCCTGCAGGTCTGGAGTGCAGATCTCTGAGAGGGCTTACAGGGTTAAAGTAAGGTTTCAGAAGGAACAAGTTTCTTCTGCAGATTCTAGGGAAAAGGAGACATCTTGGCCTCTCCTGGCTTCCAGAGGCGGCCTGTGTTTGTCAGCTTGAGCCACCCCAGAGTCACTGGCTTGCCTGCCTGTCCCTGTCCCTTGAGCTGTCTCATCACTGCCTATCCTTTTCTGACTTTGACCTTTCTGTGTCTCTGAGGACAGATGCGATTGTATTTAGGGTCCACAAGGACAGTATCCACAGACCCTTGAAAGGGTCTCATCTGCAGAGCTTCCTGGCCTGAGTCTTAGTCCTTTCCTCTGCTGGGACAGTGTACACATGCTAGAGATTCCTCTGGCTGCCTGCTGCAGGGTCTCAGAAGTCCCATCTGCTGAGGCCTTCATGTGTGACATGGCTTGGTGGGAGGCAAATGAGCATGGCTGAGAGGGAGAGAGAAGGAGAGGAGAGACATCCTTCCAGGATAACTACCCCCTCCTGTGTAAGCAACCTGTTCCTGCAACAGCGAACCCCCTCGTGCAGTAACCAGCCCCTCCTGCAGTAGCTGACCATCTCCTGCAGTAGCCAACCCCTCATGCAGTGCTAACCCACTCCTGCTATAACTAACCCCTACCCACAATAACTAAGCTATTCCATCGACGCAGTAACTAACCCAGTCCTGCATTCTGAGACTTGCAAGACCTTGAGAGTAGAGCTTTCCTGACCCAAGCCCCACAGAAATAGAATCCTGTTACAGCGGCAGCTAACTTGCCGTGCCAGCTTTGCAGAGGCCTCGCCACCCACACATCCTTGCAGTGTCCCTACTCACAGGACCTGAGGATTAGGGTGAGTTGACTTTGGAGCGGCGCTGTTGGTCCACCTGCCGCAGCCATGGCCTGCCACCCCATACCTGGATCTGTACTCTCCAAAATCTTAAGTTCCAGACGTCATCCTTTCCCTGGAGTCTTTAGCATCCCATTTCCACTGGTCTTCTGGTTTAGGGGGAGCAGGAAGGAGCAGGCTCCCTGGCCTCTCCTCCCCCTTCTCAGGGTGGTATGTTGTTGAAAACTTCAGAGCTGTTCACTTCTGGGATTTTCCTATTCAGAATTTTGGGGACCACAATTGATGCGGAGCAGCTGGAACTGCAGAGTGGTCAAGTGCAGATACTGGGGAACTACTGTGCTGTGTCAGAACAGTGTCACTCCGGATGAGCACTGGACAACAGATGCTTGTCTTAGTGAAGTTCAAGGCCAAACTAAGGCTTCTTCTTTCATTTTAGATCACAGTAACATCATTCCCATTATTCTCGGACCAAAACTGACTTCAGTTGAAGTGGAATTAGGTACGTCTCCACATATACAATCTGTCTTTATGGGGGGGGGCATGCTTCAGTTTTTAGAGGATAAACCTGCTTCATATTGGGTCAACACTGTATGCAAAACATATTCCATATTTAGGGAAAATATTAGAAAGGCAGAAAAGCTTGTCATCACTTGAGTGTTGTCCTTTTGGGGCTGATGAAAAGGAACTATCAGTTCAAAGACAGTGGAACCCTGTGTGGTTTTGATAGAGTGGGATTTGGGTCACTGAGCAAGTGGCTTTGCTGTCATCTCCCTGGTTATTTCTCAACATGGAAACTCAGTCATGACACCCCATGTAGATGATTCAAACTTGAATACTAGATTCATTGACTCATCCTGAGTCTGTGGACCAAACAGTGCATTCAGGATTTGTCTAGAGATGCTTAGGAATCAACATGGCTTTCTGGGTAATTTCTTTTTTTTTTTTTTTGGAAGAAAAAAAAAAACCTCTTTAATAAATGGTGCATGCAAAAACTAAAAATAGACTCATGTATATGACCATGCGCTAATCTAAAATCAAAACTGATCAAAGATCTAAATATTAAAACAGAAACACTAACTCTGCTGGAAGAGCAAATAGGTGGAACTCTTATAGACATAGGTGTAGGCAAAGACTTCATCAAGAAAACCTCAACTTCATGGGAAATACCACAAATAAATAATAACTGGGTTCTCATTAAACAGCTGTTGCACAGGGGAAAAAAAATCACCAACAGAATGAAAAGTATCCACAGTGTGGGAAAAATTTTTAGCCAGTTGTCCCTCAGATAAAGGATTAATATCTAGAACACATAAAGAATTGAAAAAAATCAGACATCCCAAATTTAAAGACCCACTCCAAAAATGGTCATCTGAAATGAATAGACACTTTCCAAAAGTACAAAAGATAAATACATACATGAAAGAGCATTCAGCATCACTGATCATTCAAGAGATGTAAATTACAACAATGTTGAGATTCCACCTCACTCTTGAACGAATGGCTATTATCAACAAATCGATCAATAACAAATGCTGGTGGGGCTTTGGGGAAAAAGGAACACTTCTCCAATTTTGGTGAGAATGTTGTCTGGTACAAGGACTAGAAATCAGTGTGGACATTCCTCAAAAAATAGAACTAGAAGTCCCACCCAATCCAGCTCTTCCCCTTCTTAGTATCTTCCCAAAAGAATTAAAGGCATCATACTGCATATGTACCCATGTTTATAGCAGTACAGTTTGTAATAGATAAATCTTGGAAACAAGACAAATACCCATCATCTGATGAATAGATAAAAATATTTTT